TGTGAACAGATACGGAAATTTAATGGCGACATACTAAATTCCCGATGGCCCTTTCTCAGTGTCATAGAAAGAGTTGTCTGGGAAGGATGAGGAAAATAAAACTTAAATCTAGTCAGTATGCAGATAAATGCGTAGCCTTCTCTTAAAGGTGCGTAGATTTTCTGAAGATCTTATATTTATTGGAAGGTTATTCCAAAGGAAAGTATATCTGGAAGCGAAAAAAGGGAGCGCTTAGAGATGGAGGACGCTGGAGGAGGTATAATGAAGGACGAGTTGCGAAGATTGTATGGGCGACTACTAGGGGTGAGATGAAAATTTGAACTATGATTAATGCGAAAGAGGAGACAGAAGCCCGATTATAGTCTTCAAACCCATAAAATTTTTAGATTAATTAGCTGGCATCTATCTGAGTAGGAGATATTGCGATGTTCCTTGTCTAAAAGTTTTTTAGAAAAACGTCTTTGGACATTTTCAATTTTTAAACGACTGGCTTCATTCATCAAACCAAAGAATGGGCAACAATACTCGAGAATGGGAAATACAAACATAGAATAGAGACTTAATTTAATTTCGGGAAGATAGAAATTGTAGGAAATAAAGCCACAAATCTGGGCAGCTTTGGCTGCAATTCTGTCAGCGTGTGGCGAGAGATCAAGATTACTAGTGTAGCTTAAACCTAAATCCTTGATGGTGGTACATCAAGTCATAGGTGCGCCTTGAAAGACCACTGGTTGGGGTAGCCTATCAAGTCCAAAACACATATAGTGACATTTAGACGGATGTCTTTTCTCTTCACCGCTGCTGCGTATCCAGTTATGCGCGTCCGGAGTAATCTCCCAGTTTCTCCGACTTATTTCCTCTGTCCGCAACTGCACCAGATACGGTAAACGACTCCACACGTTTCTTGCCTTGACAGCAGGTCTTTCGGCCTCATGACTTCGCGCCTGATGGTTGCTTCCGGCCTGTGTGCAACCCCAACTCCAAGTAGAGTGATAAGGCGACTGACGGCTTCCGAGACGTCCCTAACGTACGGAAGCGCCAGCTAAAATTTAGGGCCGGTCGGATTTAGTTTCTCGATTCGTCTGAGTACACAGTGGTTGATAAAGTTGCGCGGGTAGCCATTGATTCTCAGTAATCGTTGAAGATATTACAACTCAGTAACCTTGTCTCCTGTTTCACTGCAGTGCGTCTCAACGCGCCGGTATAGCAGCCTTACGCAACTGCCCTTGAGACTGGGTGGGTACTGTTGAAATTCAGTACATGCGTCGTATTTGTTGCTCTCCTGAACACTTTGGTATTTAAACCATCACAATCGTTGCTGCAGACAAAGACATACAGAAAGGCCGGCTGGTTGTTCTCTTCCTCCTCTATCGTAAATTGAACGTCCGGGAAGACAGCGTTGAGACGTTCTTTGAATGTCAACACCTGATACCGCTCGATGACGACGAAGGCATCATCCAAGTACTAAGCCCGAAATTTCGGTCTGTGGTATCGAAAAATTAGTGGCTCCAACCGTTGTATGACTTCCTCGGCAATGAGTCCTGAAATCGGCGAACCCATTTGCGTTCCCTTCACCTGCTCGTATATTGTTCCGTTGAACGTAAAGTAGGTCTTAAAAAAGAACTTCAGGAGTTGGACGATTTGGAAGTGTCCAAAGCGATTCTCCGTTCCATCGTATTTTTCTCATAGGAGTAGTCCGATGATCTCGACTGCTAGGTCCTGCGGAATAGAAGTAAAAAGCGACGTGTCATCAAAGGATACCATGACGTGGCTTGGCAGGATACTTGTCCCTTTAAGTTTCTCCAAGAATTGTTTTGATGAGCCGACTTTGGTAATCGAATCGGAAGTCAGAAACTTGGGACGTCGAAACAGCTACTTTGCCGGTCCGTAGGTTTGTGTACCTTTTAGCGATACAAGTTGCCGGAGAGGAGGGCTCTCTTTGTGCACTTTTGGGAGACCGTAGAATCTGGCCAGGGCTGTTTCTTGTGCTCTCGTCACGCGTCGGTCGATCGGGCTAACTTTATTTTGTGGCAGGCGTGTGGGAATAAGTGCAGATAATATCGATGGGAAGATACCCAACAGATATCCTTGTCAGATTTAGACCACCGCTCAAGGGCGGTTACCAAGGTGTGACCTCCGCCTGATCATGGCTTTGTAAAACCACGAATGAAAGCTGGGATCTGAGACCGGGCGATGAAGAAATATTCGCCATGTTCACCGATGCGTTTGATGGAACCATTCGTTTATTGCTTATAAGAGCTTGCTGTGACCGTGGGCATGGTTTCGCTAACAGGCCCGAACGACGTCGCCTTTACTTTATCCTCATGAGTGCTAATTTTCGATAGAGTAGCTGCGGTGGCGTATTTTCGTCACTGTGAATTCATGTAACGTCCGTACATCCAAATCAGCGATCGTGGAATGACGTTACCTCTTTAACGTGAGTACCTGTCCAACTTTGCCCAGTGCACCCCCACTGATCTAGGAAAGTGGGTTTTTCATGTAAAACGACTGACAATAGAACGATTCCTAAACAACAAGATAAGAAATCAGATTCCAGACAGTCCTGGACAACTGTTTTCCTACTAACCATTTGGATAAGACACGCTCCTGGGGACTTGACTTATCCAAATGATGTAACTGGTTGGTCCGAGGTTCAGGAGATCTCTTTCAATCAATCAACTGACGCAGCAGTGCTGACTGAGTTTGTTTATTGCATGATACGAGGCGTGCGGATCAGACTGACGGAGGTGCAGACTTGTCTGTGAGGAAAAACGAGTCAGGAACGAGCGACTCTTTAGGAACAGGCTACAACAGGTTTACATCGGAATTACTAGTACCAATGCGGGGAAGGACTACCCACAAAGACAAGGGGGACTGGGATGTCATTTCCGGGTCACTAGCCGACCTCAAGTAGACAGACCCAACCCCGTGTCTGGATTATTTGGGATTCGAGCACAGGTTCTTTTGGGGGTTGAATTTTAGAGAGTCCAACTCTCTAGCATTCAGCCATGGGCCCCTTGTCTTGTCGCTTTATCCAGCATAATTCAGTATATATGAGGGATAGAGGCAGACACTTGGAAAACCCTATTTACAAATGGAATGTTGAAAAAAACATGCAGATATTTACATATCAGTTATACCAGTCATTGCCTCAATCCAGTCTGGGGACCTGTGGCAGTTCGCGATTTCTTGTCCTCCGCCTTTTCCACGCTGCCTTCCAGTCTGTCTCACACTCCTTGTCAATAGGTCTCTGGGACTCGCGAGGCTGGTCCCCTGATTGTCTGGTGGACGCTGAGACAACGAAAGACGCACACACGCGCTGGGTCTTTGCACCTCGAAGGAGGACACAGACAAGACAACCTTCTTTGGGAGCGCGCCCGCGGCGACTGCTTACAGAGCCTTTGTGTATTCACTTCCAGCAGTAAAAGTTGTCCAAACCCAGCCCGTCTTCCCTGACTTTTGATTTCCTAATCTTCCTCCTGTCGACCACACCAGCTTCGACTGACCCAGTTCGATAACCACGAACAAAGACAGGTGTTCTGACGGGAATTTTCTTGCGAGAGACAGTAGAAGTTGTCCGCGCAGACTGTACGCCGACAGGAATGAGTGCTTAAACCGTTGCACGCAGTTTTCGGCCCATCAAAGCTTCAGCAGAAGAAACGTCACTAGGGGCCGCCGGGTTCGGAGTTGTCTTGACCTTGGCCTGATCCACAAGCACAGCGGAGATCTGCATCTGACTTCAAACAACGCGGAGCGGCATATCGGCCAAACCAAGTTGTTCAATCCAGTCGAGACTAAATAGGTTGAAATTAAACCTGGTGACGTAGCAATTCGCATTGGTGCTGGTACCGCGGAATAAGACATAACGTTGCAGTTGCCCCATTAACTTGACGAGAGCACCGCATGTGTTTGTGGCGGACTGGGGAGTCTGCCGCATCGAGGGGTTGCCTATGGACTACCAGAGTCTCTTAGAGGTGATGATGATGTCTGTGGCTGTGCTCAACTGTAAGCTGACTCCGTGGCTATTGAGCAGAACGTCAACAAACTTTCAACGACCAGCTACATTTTGCTTGGAAGCGGTCAAGAGACCGAGAGAATTTCCAGTGGACTGGGGTTTGGACTTGTGTTTTGACCGAAAATGGGTCTAGAATTAGGAGTGGTGGGGCAGGTATGCTTTCAGAAGCTGGTGTTGATTTGCAGAATCGATCAGGGCGTCCCACCTGATTACAGATTTTGCAGCGATGCTGGCTAAAAGTTCGATCCCGGTGGAAATGCCACGCGCCGCAGTGCCGACAATGACATGGCGGTGATCTCGCCTTGGACACTTGCTTGAGCCGCATAACAGGATTCGATTTGGCCACTGAGACCCAATGGGCTGAGCTGAAGGTGGCAGGGTTCCGTATCATGTCGGAGTCGCGCTTGAGGTTAATCAGCGTTTGGCATTCCGCTGCCAGTTCTTGGAGCGTGATTGAGTCGTCTCATTGCACTTTGGACAGGAGACGTGTCCGGATGTCTGATTCCTCGGAGGACTGGAGGCGGCGGATAAATATAAGGCATTTAAACTGATCTTCAATGAGAGAACTGAGTTAAAAACGTCCACACTCACGACTGACAATGGCCGCATACGTGACGAAGTCATAAGAATCTCGTTTGTACACTTGCAGGCATTGCAAGAAAGTAAATATAAGCCCCTTATATAAAGTCGGCGAGAGAACAGCCCCAAATAGGTTCAGACCAGTGAGTCTCACAAGCGTCTGTTACAGAGTGATGGAAAAGGTAATAAAAACGAGCTGATGCGGCATATTGAAGAAAACAACTTGCTCAGTTTGCATCAGAATGAATTTCGAAGGGGTCGGTCCTGTTTTACTAACTTGCTAGTATCCATGAAGAGCTAGACGAAATCAATCGAAAGGGGTTTATCGGTTGACGCCGTGTACTTTGATTTCAGAAAGGTCTTTGTTAATGCTCCACACAGACTACTTATCTTTAAACTACATCAAATGGACGTGCATGGAAATCTGCTGAAATGGTAAGCCGATTTTCTTACGGGCAGATCTTAACGTGTGTGTCTCGACACGCTGAATCGAAATGGCAACCGTCCATTGTGGCCTTAAGCAGGGGAGCATTCTGAGTCCGTTTCTGTTCTTAAAATATGTGAGCGACTGCCTGGATTGTCTGAACTACGAGCGCATAATATTTGCCGATGATCTCAAATTGTGGAAATCAATAAAGGAGCCGGAAGACTCTCTACAGTTACAAAATAATTTGAATATTCTGCAACAATGGTGTGATGAGTGGTGTCTTAACCTCAAACTTAGCGAATGCCAACTTATCCTATTGCGATCTACCAACAGGAGGCCGTTAAGATTTGAATCTCACTACTTTATAGGGGGTCGCCAACTCGAGTCAATCAATGAGTTAAGAGACCTCGGTGTGTGGATGACGTCAACTCTCAAACCATCGTTTCACTGACACAAGGTATCAAAGAAGACTATGGGTATCCTAGGCGCAATCGGGAGATTCTCTCTCAATTCTGACGAAGAATTTTTCGGCCGAGTATTTGAACATTTTTTCGATCAATGTTGGAATATTGTGTTCAGGCATGGTGTCCCTGAACATAACAAGATTACATCCCATTGGAGAACGTGCAACGAAGAGTAACCAAGCTGGTCGGCGGATTAAGTTGCTAACTTTGTGATAGACGCTTGGAAAAGCTGAAAATATTTCCTCTCTCTTAGAGACAATAGAGAGGGGATATTGTCGTGGCCTTCAGTATCGTCAGAGGGCCAGACTGTGCTCTTCACTTTGACGATTTCTTCCGAATGGTGCGGACGACCAATCTTCGAGGTCACTAATACAAATTGAAGATAAAATATGCCAAACTTGAATTGCGGGCCAAATTCTTTTCCCACCGGCTGGATGAAGGATGGAACAAATTGCCAACTCCATTGTTCTGACGGGAAACGTTAACAGCTTCAAAAAAACTATGTAAATTTATGCATGATGGTCAAACATTTACTGGATATCGATGACTGGCATAACTGTTATGTAAATATCTGCATGTTTTTTTCATACGTCTATCTGTAAATAAGGTTTTCCAAGGCTCTGCCTATGTCCCACATACATACTAAATCGAGTGTTGAACAGGGACGACTGCTCACCACAAGTCTGTGACAACGTCTGCACCGTGCCCGTGAAGATGAATGGACTGGATGAAATCAAAATTTATAACAAGGGATCGCTGAAAACTGAATTACGTGCAGGGGTGCAGTCTATTTCAGTTTATTAAGGGAAAGATATGTGCTGAAGTACTTGGCTACTTGACCTTTGACAATCTTGTCACGTTTGTTTTACTGTAGCATTTGTTTTAACGTGAAAAATAGCCGCCGCTTGTAAGCTTCGCGCCGCTTGCATGCTCTCTGGTCAGGCCGTTGCACATTTTGAATATTAACTTTATTCACTTACTGGCCTTCCTTACCTCACTCCGGTTATGAGGTTAGTAAGCCGTAGTTCGTTAGTTCGCGGGAACGACATAACTTACGTCATTGGTGACTCCCGACGTTAGCGCAGACTTATGTAAGTTCTTTCCTTCTGTAACATTTAATGACATTTAAAGTCCTGTATTTATTTGCTAAATTTTAGTTCATTTACATTTCCCGCTCACCTTTTCACAATATTGTACTACCTATATTTTGCTTATTATGTCTTCCTCAACTCAACAACCTGACGTTCCTGCCGAGTCTGTTCATGCCGTCCATTTCACTTTGCCTGCTTTCTGGCAACACGCCCCTGAACTTTATTTTATCCGCATTGAGTCAGCCTTTTACTCCTCCAACATTACGAAGGAGTTGTCGAAATACCACAAACTTGTGGAGGTTCTCCCTGCCAATATTATCTCACAAGTTCAACCCTTGTTAGTGAACCCCCTGCAGACGCTCCCTATTCTGCTCTGAAGGCGGAAATCCTTCGTCTCAGTGCTGTATCTGACCGACAACGCTACCACCAGTTGATCAAGGAGGAATCACTGGGTGACCGGAAGCCCTCAGAACTTCTCCGACGAATGCGTACTCTTTTAGGAGACATGCAGGTCGACGAGAAACTCGTTAAAGAGATGTTTCTAGAGCGGCTGCCTGCAGATGTCCAAACGATTTTGGCATCCGGCTCGCAAGACCTTACACTTTCACATCTTGCTGAAATGGCAGACCGAATGATATAGGTTCAACGGTTCCAGCCACCTTCCGTTGCTCAGATTTCCACATCCTCTTCAACGGTTAACGAGCACTTACTGCAACAGATGTCGGATATGGCGAATGAGATAGCCTCCCTAAAACTACAGCTTGCTCGCATTAGCTGTAGTCGATCACCCAGCCGTCATCGTTCACGTTCGCGACCTCGCACAGCCAATTTGTGTTGGTATCACGTAAACGTTGCCGCCAAGGCTCGCAAATGTTCTTCCCCTTGTTCATTTAAACCAAAACAGGGAAACCAGCCAGCCAGAGAATAGACGCGACCGTTTTCTCTGGATCTTCCAGCTCTGGTCGCACCTTTTATGTCTGCGACAATGTGACTCGTAGGTGTTTCCTGGTGGACACTGGAGCCCAGATCAGCGTGGCTCCCCCCACCCCAGTTGACCGCCGCTGTCCCAGCCCTGGTCTACATCTCCAAGCTGCAAACTGTTCCCCCATTTCCACTTTTGGTAGTCGTTCCCTGACGCTAAACATTGGTTTACGTCGATCATTCTCCTGGATATTTGTGATCGCCGATGTGCCTCATGCGATCCTTGGTTCAGACTTCCTAGCCGAGTTTGATCTCCTTGTTGACTGTCGGCGTTCCTGTCTCCTCGACCGCACAACTGGTCTTTCTGTCCGCGGTCTTACACCCTTTAATGACTCCTGCAATTTATCTGTTCTGGACACAGGTATTGCTTGCCCATACCGAGACCTGCTCTTCCAACACCCCAACATAATCAAACCCCAGTTTCGCAGTGGTGAGATCCAGCATGACGTTGTCCACCAAATTCGCACCTCTGGCCCCCCAGTATTCGCACGGCCTAGACGACTGGCTCCGTCCGGTCTGCAAGCGGCGAAGGCCGAATTTGAGCACATGCTGCAACTGGGCATAATTTGCCCGTCCGAGATTCCATGGGCGTCCCCTCTGCATATGGTGCCCAAGGCGACATCAGACGACTGGCGGCCCTGTGGTGACTATCGCGTCCTCAACAATGCGACCATCCCGGATCGTTATCCCGTCCCTCATCTTCAAGATTTTGCTGGAGCTCTTTTCGGCAAGTCGGTTTTCTCGAAGATTGACCTTGTTCGGGCCTTCCATCAGATTCCTGTCGCTCCTGAGGATGTTCCCCAAACTGCCGTCACCACACCATTCGGCCTGTACGAATTTATTCGCATGCCATTTGGTCTTCGTAATGCTGCCCAAACATTTCATAGGTTCATTGACCGAGTCCTACGTGGTCTCCCGTTTGTGTACGCCTACATCGATGACCTCTTGGTGGCCAGTCGAAATGCCGAGGAACACAAAGAGCATCTTGCCTTAGTGTTTGACCGCCTCGATCAGTTTGGCTTGGTCATTAACCCTTCTAAGTGTGTTCTGGGTGTGCCGTCCCTTGATTTTCTTGGTCACCATGTCCATGCACAAGCTTCGCGTCCCCTCTCTTCCAAGGTTGAGGCCATTCGTGACTTTCCTCCACCAACCTCCAAGCGTCAGTTGCAACGTTTCCTTGGCATGGTAAACTTTTATCGCCGGCTCCTACCGAACTGTGCCGACCTTATGCTGCCGCTCACCAACTTGCTCTCTGATCCCAAGGGCCCCCTTGATTTACGTGGCCACGCACTGACTGCTTTTAAGAGAATAAAGACCTCCCATGCTGATGCTACCTTGCTCACTCATCCTGCTCCAGAAGCCCCATTGTCCCTGATGGTTGATGCTTCGACCGTTGCCGTGGGAGCAGTCCTCCAACAGCATATCAACGACTCGACACGACCGTTGGCATTCTTCTCCAAGAAGCTTTCACCTGCCGAGACGAGATATAGCACGTTTGGCCGTGAACTTCTTGCCATTTACCTAGCCGTAAAACATTTCCGACACTTCCTTGAGGGTCGTGACTTCACAATTTTCACAGACCACAAACCACTTACATTTGCCATCCGATCCCATTCTGACAAATACAACCTGAGAGAGGTTTCTCATTTGGATTACATCTCGCAATTCACCACCGACATCCGTCACATTGATGGCCCGAAGAATGCGGTGGCCGACATGCTGTCCAGACCTTCCCTCTCGGCGTTTCACCTCTCACACGGGATTGATGTTGGTGCTATGGCGGCTGAACAACGACGTGTTGGATGCCCTGGCGACGAGTCTGTTGACAGTCTTCAATTAGTTGACGTCCCATTGACCACCGGCACTGGCACAATCCTTTGTGACGTATCGACTCCTTTTCATCGATCTTATGTGCCTGCCTCGAAGCGTCGAGCTGTTTTTCAAACTCTCCACGGACTCTCCCATCCTGGGATTCGAGTCTCACAGAAGCTCCTTGTGGAAAAGTTCGTATGGCCTGGGTTGAGCAAAGATGTGAGAGCTTGGACAAGATCGTGCCTTTGCTGTCAACGTAACAAGGTTCAACGCCACAACAAGTCTCCATCGGGCACGTTCCCCAGCCCCGATGCACGGTTCAACCATGTGCATTTCGATGTCGTGGGTCCTTTACCTCAATCCAATGGCTATACTCACCTTCTCACCTGCGTTGATCGCTATACCCGTTGGCCGGAAGCCATTCCTTTACCGAATGTGCAAACTGAGACCATTGTGAAAGCCGTCGTCAGTCGTTGGGCCGCCATATTCGGTGCGCCATCCATGATTACGACTGATTGAGGCGCGCAATTTGAGTCCACACTTTCTCAAAATCTCCTCAACTTCCTTGGCTGCACACGTATTCGGACGACGGCCTACCACCCAGCTGCCAACGGCATGGTTAAGCGTTTCCACCGCCAGCTAAAAACTGCACTGCATGCCGCAGAAGATCCCGAAAACTGATCAGACAATGTACCCGTTGCACTTCTTGGCATCCTTGCGGCACTGAAGTCAGACTTGGACTGCAGTGCAGCCGAATTGGTTTTCGGCACTACCCTCCGACTCCCTGGTGAGATGGTCACCCCAACCTCTCGTGGTGCCGAAGAGACCCCCAAACTTTTGTGCATCGTCTGCGATAATTCATGCGCTCGCTTTCCCGGTTCCACCTCGAGCTCCATCGACCGAGCCTTATTGTTGAAAAAGGCTTAGCCAACTGCACCCATGTGTTCGTTCGGTGTGATCGTGTGCGGAAGCCGTTAGAATCCCCATACGAAGGACCGTTCCGTATGCTTGCACGTAACAGCAAGACCTTTCGGATCCTGCGAGGTGACAAAGGGGACGTAGTCAGCATCGACCGGGTCAAGGCTGCTGTTGCAGAGGAGCCCCCGGACGTGTCTTAAGGACAAGCATGTGCTGACTCTATACCTCCCCCCACTCCTTTTCCACTTTCCCCACCTATCCCTCCGTCCCGTATACTTCCTCTTCCTTCTTGTTCGCAGCATCAAGCTGCAACCTCTTCCTCCACCCTTAACTTGTCCACTACAACACCTACTCAGCTGTCTCCAACTGTGCCTCCCGCATATATCACCCGCAGTGGACGTAACGTTCACTTTCCCGATCGTCTAGTTACTCATTTCTCCTAGACCTTTGTATGTCCTCCGGCGTCGTTCACGCCGCCCTCCGGTCTCGGAGGGGGGTACTGTGATGAAGCACTTGACTACTTGACCTTTGACAAGCTTTTCACGTTTGTTTTACTGTAGCATTTGTTTTAACGCGACTAGGACTCTGCCGCTTGTAAGCTTCGCGCCGCTTGCATGCTCTCTGGTCAGGTCGTTGCACATTTTGAATATTAACTTTATTCATTTAATGGCCTTCCTTACCTCACTCCGGTTATGAGGTTAGTAAGCCGTAGTTCGTTAGTTCGCGGGAACGAAATAACTTACGTCAGATATGTGTCGGCTTTTGGTACCCCATTTATAGCATAAACGTGGTGGAGTGTACAAATCAAACTGAATATAACGGCAGTATTCGGCGCTCCAACTGAAACTAATCTAACTATCACTTCTCAGTTACTATCTCTGATATTGATCCTGGAGCATTAAGTACATAATTACTTTCTGCATTTCTGAAGTATTTTTTCACATATCAAAGTTCATCAGGAAACTAGGTCAAGTACAATTTTTTATCAGCACAGTTTAACTGGTTAAGCCAATTGAATCGCGGCCAACGATAGTCCAGGGAATTAAACGTCAAAAATTCCGAAACATTTGAAGTTATCCAAGTCCTTCAAGACCTAAAAATGGCTGAGCCGTTTCTGAATAGATTTAGCGCAATTTGTCAGACTTCATCTATCTTTTTTCGCCCACTGAGTTTTGGATACCATTTATACTTCATCAAATACAGTCCGAGGTGCTCATTAAATTCTCGAAAGCAAGACCAGATCCTCCCTCTTATCCAAAACTTTATAGAGTTTCCCCAAAGTAACAGTGGTAGCACGACCAGTATCAGTATCTTCTTGGGAGGAAAACCTGGTGAGATGGCCTTCGCATCCAGGGTCTGCGCTCGCCCTCAATGAGCTTCTAGCCAGTGACCAACGAAAACGCGCCAAAATTGCAGTTGCCGCGAAAAGTGTGGGACACGAGGATAAACCTTCCGTCGGATGAGTATATATCATGATCAAAGACAAAAACTTGAAAACGAGCTCGCAGACTCGAAGACGCCTCTTTAGCAGAATATTCATCACCAAAATGATTTTGTCAGTGTTAAAGTCAGAAAGACGAAACGTTACAAGAGAAAAAAAGCAAAATAGTATCGTTTCAAGAAAATCTTACAAGGCGCGTAGCGACTCAGTGAGTACAGACGCGCGTATCGGTGACAGCAGAATGGTCCCAACGAAGTCTCTAATAAAGACGAATTTGACTTATACGCAAGGTGACCTAAGCGAGGATACGAAAATATTGCCTGTTGCAGGAGCCACCTCGCCAGCTCCTCTTATTAGAAATGACAAAAGCTCTCTTGTGCCAAAAGGTGATATACCTATGTTGTCCAGAGCAGCATTACTATCATGTACTTTCAACTGCCTCCAGTGCCCTATAGATCACATATTTAAATTCAAAACAGGAAATCGTGATTAGGGGATAGGAGAACGCCGCAACAGGAGCATAGAATCGCGATCGACCCTGGTGAACTGCTCAAGACGCTTAGTCGACAGCAAAGAGATGAATCCAAACGAGGAATTCATATATCGTACTCGTCCCCGTACAGAGAAGCCCAGGAAATAAAAAACAAACGACGTGTGGGCCGCCATTAGAACCTACTTACTCGGCATCTGTCTAAAGCAAATGCAGTTAGACTTGAAGACCGTCTCTCAGGGGATCTTACTTCATTCCATGGTCTGTTTAATCAATTAGTCTACCCAGGAGTGGAATTAAGAGATCCAAAAGCTTTCCGGGCCATAAAAAGTAATGACTATAGGACGACATCACTATCGCCGTATCCTCTCAAAATTATGCTGGAAAACAAAAAGTGAATTAAGATGCTCCTTTTTAAAAAATAGCCACAGGATCTCGCATAAACGGGTGTTTCAACCGGATTACTCGTCAACGGAACGCCTGGAAAGCTGACAAACTGTATCGAATTAAAACTGAGACCGAAGGATGACGAGAACAACCTGGCTATCATCAAGGAGGAGGTTGTTCAAAAAATATGAAGATTTGGTTGAATCGGCCAGTAGTAATAAGGACAACGGCACCTATCCAACTAACGCAGGCACTTTTGTGAAATCAGATGCTTTAAACAGCAGCAGGTCTAAGCCGTTAACACTAAGTATCCTGGCGAAAGGAACCGAATTTGGTGAAAATAACGTAGGAGGGAACGAAGAAAGACACGCAACGGTGAACAACGTCACCGAAAACTCAGCTGGCACAAAACTGAATTGTTTATGCACACATTCCCATAAAGAAAATGATGAGCTACAAGTCGCTTTACCGAACTGTCTACGGATGCGATAGCAGTAACCGAACAGCGGCTGCCTAGGCATATTAGTGATAGCGAGATAACATTAACTGAGTGCCAAATATTTCGTATGGATAGGGTGCACCGTTAGAGTGGTGGCATAAATGTATATGCGAAAGACCAAGTTTGCATGCAGCAAGTAATCCATTTGGTTGACCATCAAGTCTAGTGGGTCCACGTGCCGTGACATCCATTGAAACTGATCCGATCCCTTT